CTCAGTCATCTTGAATCATTTTTCTAAAACAACTCCCAGCTGTTAAGGGAGGAGAGCACCTAGTGAGTGCCTGCCAGTTGGGAAATAAGAAATATCTCGGTGTGGGAAGGTCACAGAATTAAGGCTTTTAGAGAATAGTGCTAAGGTCTTTGTATTCTGTTGCTGCCCTGTTACAGAAGCCAAATGACTATTTGCTCAGGGAAATTTACTCATTTTCATGCTTGTATCAGTAAATAAATAGTGTTTCTACCAGCTTCTTGGGAGTGATTGAGGTCTACATTTGCAAATAGAAATTATATAACCATAAACCTAAGTTACACTTTCAATAAAATGCCATCTTCTGAACAAATTAAATATTGAGATGATGTCAGTGGTGCTTGCCTTTGCAGACAGGGCAGTGTCTGTGGGGGGTTTCTGTTGAATTTCAGTACTGGTAACTTCTGGAAATATATGAGTGTGTGTGTATATATATGTATGTATGTGTGTTTATTTATTTATACCCTTTTCATTGAAAGCTAAGAGAAGTTAAGCCTGTGCATCTGGTGAAGGGATGCAATTGCACTTTTATCACTCCTTCTTCCCACCCTTAAGGAATGTCAGCCAAAATGTGAATGTTACTTTGAAATTTATGGAAAGGCTGGAATAACCGAAGTATGACTCCTGCTAAGAGCCATCGTGGGCGAGGATGGGGAAGTAAGCATAGCACTTCAGTAACAAGATCAGTTCTTGTCCTTTGCTATACTTCTATATTAGTTAGAGTTGAATTTCTTCCTCTGCAAGAAACATATCTAGCTATGGTTGGAACATGCCTTTTAGGGGAGTAGGAAGATGTTTTTGGCGGGGGAGGGGGGGGAGTTTATTCCAAGCTTGAAGGCAAATGTCTTGTCTTTTAGCATGCCTCTTGAAAGGTCTTGCGAGATCATAGGACCACTTTGCCTCAGAATAGAGAGATTTGGTTTTTTCCTATTATGCAGTGAGTTGGAAGATGCTTGAACACTTCATAGCAACCCTGAAAATAATCCTGAAACTAAAAGCAAACCATATTTTTCTTTCAGAGATGAGATATTCTGAGAGGTTTCCTTGAAGCAGCTTTAAGAATGCTCCAAAGCTTTCTGAAGTTGACATTTCTATCAGTTCACACTCCAAGAAGAATGCTTCCAACAAGTGACATTTTCCCCCAGTTTCATTTGTTATACAGCTAATGATATCCCTGTGTCTGCAGGATTGTTTCCTGTGATAAAACTGTAGGCTTCTGCCTCTTTCATTCTTGTGACATAGGTGAGATGAAAGATAACAGACAACAATGTGAGGAAGAGTTTCTAGAAAAGTGTAACCAACATCTGGGGTCATAAAGGAAAAAGTTCTTGTTGCCAGGGGTGATGCTATGTGTCTAAATCAAAGCTAAGACAATTTTTTTCCTCTGTGAAAATCAAATGTTTGTGATTTCTGTTTGTCCTCTTAAGTGGACAGTTATAAAGTAGATTTGAATCCAGCCTGATAAAGGCTGTATGCTGCATTTTGGAGGTAGTGTTCTGTAGAAAGTGATTCCACATACTTGAAATTGTGAGCTTCATCTTGCAGGGACCCCAAAACATTGTCCAGTGTGTAAGCAGCTCAGTGGACCAGCTGACAGCATGTTGCACCTGTACATCCCTGGGCAAGCTGCAGCAGCCTGAAGTTCAGTGTAGGCCTGTCTACCTCTCTTTACAAGCAGGTTGGCTGCACTCCTTCCTTATACTGATTTTGGAAACCCTGAGGTAGCCAAGATAAAGCTCTGCATTGCAGTCAGACAGACAGGGCTTGTTCACTTTGTTCAACATCCCTGGTGCTATAGCACTGAGAGGTGAATCCTTTGAAAGTCTGAGGCCATAGTGAGAGCTCCATGTGCCTGGGCATGCAAGTGCCTGCTTCTGAGCTCTTTTCACTGAAGTAAACTGCAGCTTTCACTGTCTGGTCATGTTTTATCCTTCCCTGGCAATATCTTTGTAGAACTTCTTAAGTCTTCTCGCAAAACCAGGAACTTAATACTAAGAAACAAATCCAAATAACATTTTTTCTTTTTGTAGCTGAGCAATAGACTGATATGGCAATATATTTTAAAATTCCTCAAAAGAGAAGCTGTTTTACACCAGTTATGTTTCTGAATCATGGACAGTTTGTGTTGATTGCAGTGCTTAAGGCACTAACATTTGCTGATGCATCTATCTAGTGTATAGTGCTGTTGCATCCTGAGGTTAACATATAAATCATAAGCAGTGTTTATTTTGTTTAAAAAAAAAATAAACCAATAAGCCAAAAGGCACTGCTGCCTTGGGATTTTTCCCCCATCCCATTCCTAAACAAGAAATCATGTTTCAAAAATGTTTGAAGTGAAAACAGTACTAATTTAGCAGAAGCTGGCAGCCATATCTAGACATCAGAAGCAGTGGAGGGGAAAAGTGATAGAGAGCAAACTTATAACTACAGGCCAGGGATGGGGCCCACAATGGCAATGTCATGTTCTGTGAGGTTTTTTTCCCCTGATATAGAGTTCAAAAGCAAGAATTGATTTATTGATGGTACAAAGCTTCTTGTTAGATGGTCTGCCTAGCAAATACTTAAATGTCTTTTTTACATAAAGATTGACTATTAACTTATGTGAAGAAAGGCTTCACTTTGGAGTATAAAGATCCTGTAAAACTGTTCATGTGCCATCTGCTGAGTGAATTTGGACTAGTAGGCTTCATTTAATCTGCTTGACAATGGGCATTAGAACAGTGAAAAGGATAGAAACAGTAACATTTAACTTGCATGAGCCTCTGAGACAGAAGAGAACAGGACAGCTTTTATTTCATCTGAGGATGTTAAGACAGGATGAGAATCACAAGCATTTCCATGTTGGCTTTTACCTCAAACTGCAGGTGTTTCTCGAATGAAAACTGTTCTACACAGTCCAATAACTGTGTTCTAACCTAAGGGACCTATGTGTGAAAGAGAAATCATCTTCCTGGTGCTGTGAAACTTAATTAATTTTTTGAAGGTTATTTAGGGCTCTTCTTGATGAAGTCCCACATGTGATAAAATACTATCCTTTTTTTTTTTTTTCATCTTGTCTTGTTCTTGCTTGTAAAACCTGTTCATTATTCTAAGTCTTCAAACATCAGATTTGGCTCACAGCTTTGTTTTGTGCTGACAGCAGAAATGAGGTTACAAATTAAGGAGTACATCAACCAGAATTACTTCCAAAAAGATTTCCTGAAGTTTTATAGATAACTATGTTGTCCCACCCCCAACAGAGGATGATTAAGAACTTTTTGTATTTCTTGTCCAAGGAAATAGATATTTATGAATGAATGTGTGCAAAGGTGTTTACTTAAATTATGAGAAGCCAAAGTCAAAGCTAAATATAAAGTACTTTTAGTATTTTTTTAAGTTAAACAAATATACTCTGTAAACTTATTTTACTTTCCACTTTTTAAATAATTTTTATCTTCTTGCATTGTTGAAAACATTTTAGCTGGAGAAATAACACGTTAGTAAAATTTTAAGCAAAAACACTCAAAGGATTTGCTTTAAGAATAATTTGGCTTCTGAAGCGTGCAGTGGAATTTCAGGCAGAAACATGGGAGCAGGCTGTGCAAGTATGCATAACTAATGTGAAATGAAGCTGTTCTTTAGGATTGATCTCCTTGAGTTTGAAGCCAACATCGTTATGTTCACAATGGTAATTTCCTCCTCCTTTAGGTGGAAGGAACCAGAACCTTTTCCATTAACTTTGCAGAGGCTTCTGTGTATAGACAGAAGGTGGACATTTAATGAAAAGGGAGGGGGGCAAGAAAGAAGAAAAAACCCTAAAACATGTCTGAACAAAAAGGGGTCATCTATACATTGAGGTGTCATCTCATTATGCCTCTTGTTGCCCATAAAAAGAGGCACAGGTGCATAATACAGTTGCAGACCCTTTCCCTTGTAGGTATCTACAGAAAAATGACAAATGCCACCTCTGTAACAAAGCAGCCCTTCCAGAGGAAGTCTGCAATACACACTCAAGCCCTCCAGATTTAAGAGTCTAGTGTGCATCTGGGAAAAGCTCTTTTGAATTTTTGCACAGGTTAATGACAGTAGAAATGTCAGAGCTGGGAGAGGGGAAGCAATGTGTACCAAGATAAACTGCAGGAGGCACAGCGTGCTCTGATAGGATTTTGCTCATGCTGGGGACCAGAAACTTTAATTTACTGTGTAAGATGGAATCAGGAAAGATCCTTTCCTCACTGAGTTTCAGTAAGTCAGTGTCCAAGGAAGAGATCCAGCGAGGGAAGGGATATGAACACAGCAACTAACAAGTACAGCAGCTCTCCGTTCAGCATCATCCTTGAACTGATAAACTGAGAGTGAAGGTTTTGGAGAAGCCTGAGGGCAGGAAGATGTACTAGTCAGGCAGTATACAAGGTAGATCTGAACAATGGAATTTGCTGTTGGCGTAAAAAGAGATGAGGCTATAGGAGATAAGGAGGTGGGAGAGGTTTTAACTATGCCTGAAAAATTCAGGTCAGGGAGAAAAAAAGCACAAAATACTATGTGACAGGAAGAGAGAAGGGAGAGAAGAAATTAAGGAAGTAGGTTACGTGTAACAGTTGCACAGGGATTTTTGTTAGAACTTTTAATTTCATTTTCTGCTTTCCAGTGGTACACCTGTTGGCCTAGCTGTTGACTCAGAAAAATTAGTTAGGTGCATGTATGAAGGGGAATATGCATAAATTCTGTCTAATTATTGTCTGTGGAGTGTGCTCACTTCATTAGCCTCAGGAAGTGTATCCCTTCAGCTCTTCCAGTAACTCACCAAGCATCAAGGGCTGGCAGGAGGAATATTGACTCCTGTTTTACCCTGGTGTCGGGTGGGGAGGCTCTGCTAACACCTGATGTATGCTTTGGAACAAGTCAACTACCTCATATATCTCGCTTTTAGCTAATTATTTAATTCTGTACAAATTTACCTAACTTTTTTTTTTTTTCTCTTCCAGTTACTATTTCTTCAACTGCTGAAAAAGGTAATTTTAATTTTTTTTTTTATGAAGACATGAATAGCTGCTTTGCATGCAAATCTAAGTGACATAGAATTGAAATGTACTCCTTTATGTGGAGCTCTGTGTAGTGAGTAGATTAGTGCTAAGAAACAAGGTAAATATTGTACAGTTGAGTCTGTTTTGTTTCTAATAGCACAAACTTGGGATGATGACAAGACCTGTGACTAATGCAAGTAATGCAACTATGATTTAAGTTTGCATTTATTTTTAAATGGGTCCCTACTAAGAAAAAGGAGAAGAGAGAAGGAACTGCAGCACATGCACAATTCTGATTTCTGTTTAGGCCTATGACCTGAAAGATTTCTGGAAGAGGATGAGTTGTTGTTGTACTGCTTAGTATTTTCCAAACAGATTACCAAGTTCCTCAGAACACAATTCTTAAGGAGTAGTTAAAATTGTGCAAAACACAACCATTTCTAAAGTGGCTACACATTATAAGCTTAAATTTCCAGGTAAAGTGTTTGAGGCCTTGTTTTGAGAAGTTTTAATCTTCATATTGGCTTTAGCAAGTATATGCCGCAGTGGGTAGTAGTACACAGTGATAGAAATACAAACTAACAAAAAAAATTCTATCATATTGTTGCTGGAATATTTGTTTGGGAGTTCATTCCATTTTAAAGGGAACATGAGCAGTGGATTAAGCATGGATTTGCACTTTAACTATCCACAGGGGGCTGTTTTGGACTGGTAAAAGCTCTCATCTCTTAAATATTTTGCAAAAGAACACTGGACTAGAAGCTAATCTAGCAGTTTTCTTCCTGGTGAATATCTACCAGAACACTGTAAAAAGAGGGAATCTTGATGGAATTTGTTGGTTTTCAATTTCCAATGGAGAGCTGAACGAGCAGAAAAATCTTGAAAATAAACTATAAACCATTCAAGATGTGAGTTTGTGTTACACCAGATCTTTTCCATCCCATTTTACAGCCGGGCTTTACCTTGACTTCACAAAATTCTGCAAATAGATGAATAAGTTTTGCTTCCTAATTTCTTCTGGAAAGGCAAGATCCATTAAGGAAGTCTGGCAGAGCAGTGTTTGTGTTACAAAGATCTCTATTTCCAATGCAGTGCCTGTCTGACTGAAACAGGTTCTTCTAAATCTACCAGAGAAGGAAAATGCAAGATTAATTAATTAGAGTGACAGTATCACTGGAACCTGTTAGGTTCTTAATAACTGTCACCTGCACTCTGCTTGCACATCCCATTCTGAATCATGGCATAGGCATCCTGTATGCATGAGTTGATCAACCATGAAAGTTGATTTTAAAATTACATGTGAAGTCTTTTTTCCTTTTGAAAAAAAGACTGGCATAAGTTCTCTAAGGTTCATATAAACTAGCTTGCAATAGCCAGGAATCAACATCAGAAAAGTTGAAAGACCAAAGTACCAGAAATATTGATATGTAAATCAATAATATGCATCTTAGCAAGTGTGTTTTGCTCCATATTTCAGTGTAATAAGTACTGCAGTAAAATTATTTGAATATAATGGCAACTTTTGATTAAATTAGTGGTGATTTCTTCACCCCATTAAGGCTCATTTTTTTCTTTGTAATTTTATATTCTTGTCTAGTTTTATATCCATTAGGAAAGGGGAATAAAGTCAACTCCGAATCTCCGTTAACAGTGTTACATACCACTGTTATATATTATTGCCTCTCTGTAATCTGACTGTCTTGGAAGTAGTATTAATGATTTAGAAAAGAGTGTTAAGGGTAAATTTTAGGAGGGCTTAGCATATTTTTGGAGGATTCTGAGAGCATGTCTTAAGACACTGTCTTCCTGAGGCCATAAATTTGGTATAGTATGCATCAGTGCCTTTAAAGAGAACTGACTTGCAACATGGCACGGAGAATCCTGGTTTGCCTTAGTTTAGCCAGGATTTCCTTGTGACTGGGTCTGGCTAAACTGGCAGATACTGGGGTTTGAGGTTTTTGTTGTATTTTCCATCTAGCTTGTAATTACAAGAGAATGAGCTGACTAGGAATGAATCCGGTTTACATTTGAACTGGAAACAGATGCAAGATGCTTTAGGGAGTAGTCTGTAGAGGAGCTACTGATATCCAAAGTAGTGGGTAGATGGACTGTTAAGGAAAACTGTTAAAAATGGTTATCTTCCCTCCCTCTCATTTCCTGGTGAGCACTGACAGGACAGTTATGTGTAATCACAGTAGGAATGGCAGCATGGGAGTAGGAAAAGAAGCAAGAATTTATTCAGAGTGAAGCCCTGGGTCTTTCCCTGGGTGGTGCCCATCACTGACTACTGACTGACTCCTTGGCTTTTAATGGTGGTGACAGATTGCAAGAGCTCTTACATGAGGAGCACTTTAATAGCTGCCTCTATCTAATAAATACTGGTAGCACTGGCACAGATCTTCTGTACCCTTGACACAACCGGCCGTGGTCCCTGTTGATCTATGTGTTTTAGGATCATTTACAGCCTGTGACAAAGCTTTTAGGTTCTGCTGTTCGACACATTGTGTGTGCACTAAAAATAATTCTTCAAAAGAATCTGAATTCTGGGTGATTTTTATGGACAGAGTATAGCTGTTTACTGTGTAAGTTAGTTTTGCTGTGCCTTGCCCTCTCCCGTATCTCATTTCCTCTTTCCTTCTATTCAATTTCTCTCGCCCTCTTCTCCACCAAAGTTCTGATCTGTGCCACTGATTCCACTCCAGTTTTATGTGCTTTTCTCCTCTCTTCCAAACCATTTTCTCATTCTTTAATAGCTTAACCACATTGTGTTTGAATTTAGGGTATTTTTTTAATAACAGACAGCTTTAATTATACAGTGCCTACTACAGTAATATAAAAGTTCTTTCCTATCAGGAGACAAATTTAGGATGGCTTTAGAAAAGGGTTTTGTTTCTGGCAATTTCAGCCCCACAGCTGAAAATTTGCCAAATCTGCCCATAAGGTTGGAGGAATCAGAGGCAAATGTAAAAAAAATAATTCTCTGACGAAAGCTCAAATGCAGTTTGTTTGTTTTCATTGCAATAAGCAGTGAAAATCTTGAAAGATGATAAGTTAAAGCCATGTATTCTGTGACTGTGCATAAGCATTTTCTGAGCTGTTGGAGGTTCCCAAAGTTTTAAGCCTTTTTTGCCATCCCTGAAGTACATTCTACAGCTTCTTAAAGGACTCCATCTGTACAGAAAAGTAGGTCAAATTTCCCACTTAACTGCAACTGAAGATAATATAAATATTTAATATGACTTCTCTAAGACTTGCTGTTCTGGCACAACTGATCTGTTTCCTCTTGACAAGTGATAAAAGAAACCATTAGAGGAAACAAGATTGGAAGGAGCTTCCTGGGTCATAAGGTCTGGATTTCTGGTCTTTAGGACAGCGATATCATGAAGACTCAGAAAATTTATTGAGCTCCCTCCTAAAGCCAGCTACATTTTATTTTCACTGTGACTGTAATAGGACTTTTTCAGCTTGTATTTCTCAGATGATTTGAAAGCAGATAGAAAATCTTTAACTTGCATCTGGCATGACTGGAGTGCAGTACTCTCCATACCCCTGTTTAAGGATTTAACTGTCATTAATGACCAGTGTCTTCTGTAATGGCACAGTACTGTGCTGTTTCTGTTAGAAGTAGAAATTAAATTGAATTATGTAGGTCAGTGAGTAATCAGTTACTTTGTGATATTCTAGAACAGAATTACAGCATCATCTTTATCCAAAAAGGTTAGTCACATGCCAGAAGTGAGGCTGTGAGACTGTGTTCAGTTCTGGGGCTTGGGGTTTTTGTGTTTGGGGGGTGTTTTGGTTTGTTTCTTTGGGGAGGGGTGGGTGTGGTTTTGTTTTATGGGGTTTTTTTTTTGGTGGTGTATTTTGTTTGGTTGGTTTATGGGAGGTAGGTTTTGTTGATCTGTTTTTTCCTTCAAAATCTGCTTTGGAAAGTTCAGCAAGGCCAAGTGTAGGGTCCTGCACATGAGTCAGGACAATCCCAAGCACAAGTACAGGCTGGGCAGAGAATGGATTGAGAAGCAGCCCTGGGGAGAAAGACATGAGGCTGTTGGTTGATGAGAAGCCACACGTGGCTCAGCAGTGTGTGCTCCCAGCCCAGAAAGCCAAAGGTGTCCTGGGCTGCATCCAGAGCAGCGTGGGCAGCAGGGCCAGGGAGGGGATTCTGCCCCTCTGCTCTGCTCAGACCCCACCTGCAGGGCTGCAGCAGCTCTGGGGCTCAGACCCCACCTGCAGGGCTGCAGCAGCTCTGGGGTCCCAGCACAGGGAGCACATGGACCTGCTGGAGTTAGTACAGAGGCAGCTACAAAGATGATTAGAGGAATGGAGCACCTCTCCAGCTGAAGGGAGCTTAAGGGAGCTGGGACTTATTATCCTGGAGAAGGTCCAGGGAGACTTAATAGCACCTTCCAGTACCTGAAGGGGACTACAGGAGTCCTGGGGAAAGATATGTTATGGGGACATGGAGTGATAGGACAAGGGGAGAATAACTTCAAACTGAAAGAGGTTTGAACAAATTAGGTATTAGAAAGAAATTCTTTATTGTGGGAGTGGCAAGGCAGCTGCAAAGGTTGCCCAAAAAGTTGTGGATGCTCCATCTCTGGAAGCATTCAAGCTCATTTTGTGAACATATAATAAAAACATTATTTCCTTGAGGAAGAGCAGCCATCACATGGAGGGAGTGAGGGTGGGTGTTTATTTAATTTTTTTTAAGTGAACAGTCCTAGAGTGTGAAGTGTAGTTGTTTAGCCCTCCTCAAAGATCAAGGGGTTTATTTCTTGTTCTTTTCAGCTCTATTCACCAAATTCTTATTTGTATTTTATTGCAGTTGTCTATCTTGTAGTTTTTCATCTGTCATTCGTCATGTTTGTATGGTCCTATGGGAAGACAATTTTCACACCTCCTGCAACCCCCTCTAATGAGGTAAATATAATGTTAGGAAAATGTCAATGCCTTTTTTATAAATAGCTGAAATGTTTTCAGTGATGAAATTTGTTTGCAGTACTGCATGATTCACCTTTCCCTTCTCATTGTCTAAAATAGAACAGCATGACTGTATCATGAATGAAAATGATCAAGTTGCTCTTAAAATACCATATGCTTTGTGTAATGATATTTCCTTATACGAAATGTGTGTTTAAATCATCACAAATTTGGCAGTCTTGTACAGTGCTATGCTATGAAGCAGCTTGCTTGACACTTGGAACTTTAAAAACTGATAAATGAAGTGCTGTGACAACATTTTTATGTCCTTTTTAGGCAATTTTAACCATTGTTTGAGTAAGAAAGGGTGGTAATGCAATATATACTTATGACCTGGAGGACTGAACCCACTTATTAGTCAAGGGTTAAGATTTAGGAACATTGAGATGTAACTACATAAGGAAGCTTTATATAATAGCAAAAGAATGCATCATGACTGTAAGAAGTTTTGTTTTGAAAAAGAACCATATTCATTCCAATAAGCCTGAGATGGATTACCTTGTTTTCTGTTTTCTCTAATGTGTGTGTATGTAAGATTAAATATGGGCACTGAATTTAAAATGTTGCACTTCTCTTCCTTGTTTTTACAAAGGTTTTAAACTGCCTAAACTGTTTGAGGTGTTGGTTGCTCTGTGGGGGTTGAATTTTTATTGTTTTCAGCAAGATTGACATTCAGTGCTAATGCCAACCTTCAACATTCTTGAGACAAGTTATTCCCATCCTTTGAAGAAAAAGCAAACACTGCTCTGTAGTGCTTAATTATGGCTTAGAGATCTGTATGTTAAAGCTGTAGAATATAAAGTGTAAAAAACTAAACACTATTCTGCTTTTTAGCTAAGGAGAAGTCTAAATATAGCTGTTGAAGGGTCTGGGGCACAAGTGCTGTGAGGAGCAGCTGAGGGAGCTGGGGGTGTTTAGCCTGGAGAAAAGGAGCCTCAGGGGGGACCTCATCACTCTCTGGAACTGCCTGAAAGGAGGGTGCAGCCAGCTGGGGTCGGCCTCTTCTCCCAGGGAACAAGTGACAGGACAAGAGGACATAGACTCAAGTTGCACCAGGGGAGGTCTAGATTGGATATTGGGTAAAATTTCTTCACTGAAAGGCTTGTTGTCACAAGCACTGGAACAGCCCAGAGAAGTGGTTGTATCCCCATCCATGGAGGTTTTAAAATATGTATAGATGTGGCATTTGGGGATGTGGTTTAGTGATAGACTTGGCACTGCTGGGTTTATGGCTGGGCTTGATGACCTTAGACGTTTTCCAACTTAAATGATTCTATGATTCTATTAATTGCTACTCTTAAAAATTTAAAGGGACTTGTCTTCAGGGTAATTTGGTTTTGCTTTTTTTGGGGGGATGGTTTTGGAGGAAAATTCTAAAGTTAAGCGGTTTAACTAGTTAAAATATGGTTGAAATGGTGTTATTCTAGGTTTTATAAAGCTCTATGAACTAGAGCTGCTCTTAATGCGAATGCCTAGTAACTTTTACTGTCTGCTTGAATTCTTCATTAATAGCAAACTTATTCTGGCAGTACTTTTCCTGTAGATGCTGTGAAGATGTGGCAGGCTTTCTGTATTCAGCAAGTGAAAGGGATGCCTTGGGCATATGGCATGTTATGAACTTTTGTATATTAACTGTGGAGATAGATCAGATTTAATAAAATTTCTTCTACAGCTAGCTTTAAATGAAAAAAAAAGGACAAAAAACCTCTCCCACCAGGACAGCAAAAAAACACACTCAAAAATTTTTAAAAACCAAAAAACCAATCAAATTAAAAACCCAACACCACTTTTTCTTTTTCTGGGCAAATCCCTTCTGTTCATGTACTAGTGAGTCATTTATGCTGGTTATACTTAAAAACAAACATGACTTCAGAATCTTTCCATTGTGTGAGAGTGTAAATGTATATATTTTTAGTTATTCAAATTGTCCATTCTTGCAAAACAAATAGCATCCTGTGATCTTACTATTGAACTAAAAAAAAGATTCTGCAGCTGCTGTTGTCTTAGTGTAATCCCTGTACATTTGTCCTAAGAAAGAACAATCAGCATTATATAAGATCCAGAAAGAGGAAGGAAACAAAGGGATTCTTTCTGTTTTCAATAAGAACTGCTGGAACCTCATTGGGAATTCTGTTCGCTGTGTGGTAACAGACAACTTTTGATGTCTTTGAACATATCCTGCTATTGTCCTGAGAGACTGTGGTCTCATTGCCCTATTAAGTTCTGAAATTAGAACAGAAATGTAGCTTTTCAGAAAACCAAAATCCTATCCAGGATTTTTGGAGTAATGCTATGATGTTATGTGGACAAATGTAAAAACTTTTAAATCTTGTCATTTGCTTCCTTTTCTGTGCACTAATGGTTTGCCTTGAAATGTCTTCTGGAAGGAGTGCTCATATTTCTTGCAACATCTGCTTGATTGCAGGTCACAGAGACCTGGGTTACCTAGTAGACTCACAAGGGTAGTAGGGATTAAGATGTATTGCACCACTGTTTGCTGGAATGATGCTTCACATCTGTCTTAAACTCTTGATGTGAGCATCTCCAGTTTTCATGCTTGAATAAATATCTGAGTGATTAAATTTAAATAATGAGGTCAAGCTCTTGGTGCTGGCTGAAATGTTAAACTTTAATTTCACTCTTCGAATAGAGATTAATTCTAGTGTCTGGTTATTTAAAAGGGTATTATTTTAACATGTTCCATGTTTCACCCTTGAAGAGTAGGTAGGCTCAGTAACTGGGATGATACTATATGTGACAGGAGTCTTAACTAGGTGCTGTGAGACATCTTGCTTGCATTCCGAATTAGGAAATAGCGCAGAGAAATTGCAGCAATGTCTTACTGTTTCCTCCTTGCTGTAAGTGGAGTCTTCATTGTTGCTTGCCAACTGACTGTAATCCAAAAGAGGAAAAAGTACAGGATGAGGAAAATCCATGTGAGCTAATCATGCACATGTTTTTGGTAGGAAAATACAATCATACTAAACCACACTGAGCCAGATTTTGTTCCAGCTGCACACTTAGCATTTTCCACTCTCTACCATGAATGCTTTGTCTATGTGTGCTCATAAAGAGGGTTCTTGTAGTCCATGCAGGAAGCTCAGAGGTTAGGAGTGCTTCAGTACAGAAAAATACCAAGAAATTGTCATTTCAGCCCCTGCTGCACAGTGCCTTGTCAGCATGCTGGGTTTTGCGGGGCTTACTGGTAAAAGCTGTTTCAGCAGATAGCAAACTAAGTGTTTCAAAAATGAGTAAAAGCTCTCCAGTTCTTTCTGGTAAGGGTTTACATTTCAGTGAGGTTTCAACAGGAATGCTCCTCAGGCTTTACTCAGAATTGTAGTGCACTCTCAAACTGTACAGGTTTTGCTGAAGTTGCTTTCAGTGCAACCTAAGAGTTTTGAGACTAGAGTTGACTACTCCTAAGTTAAAATTCCAGTTAAACTCTTCCAGCTTCTGTGCTGGAACTGTGAAGCCCACCACACCCCCCAACCTGTCTTTTTTTTCCCCCCATCTGTTTTGTACCCCTCTCTATGTTAGAGAGGAAGTGGGATAAGAGAACGTCAGTGCCTTGTAGCAAGAAAGGACTGTTGCACCTTCTCCTGTTCACAGATGACTTAATTTATACTTATGCTTATCAGGAATTAAAGGAAAGTTTGCACCTTAAAGCTCTCCCTGACTCACTGTTCCCTTGTGTTGAAGAGAAAATACTGTAGATAATAGAATGGCAATAAAGATTATTTTCTTGAAAATATGTCCAGAAATGAAATACACACAGAATACATCCAGAAACTTAGGCTTTCTAAGGATGTCCTTTAACTCCTGTAGCATTCTTTTTTTGTTGTTGTTGTTGCTTTTGGGTCAGTGGATGGGGGCACCCAACAGATCTTTTTTCTGGAAAATAAAGTAATAATTAGTATCTTCCTTCCTATCCATTTTCTCCATCCCTCCTAGTTCTGCTTATCAAAAGCTGATAAAGAACAATATGAAAAAGAAGAGAGACCAGAATCTCAGCAGGAGATTTTGAGAAGAGCTGCTAAAGACTTGCCTATCTATACGACAACAGCATCGAGAGGTGAGATATAAAGATAATTCTATGCTCCTGAAGTTGCTTTTTATTTATTTGTTGCCACTGAATGAACAATATATTAAGCACATATTGAAAATGCCATGATGTTTTGGTTTTTGTTTGTCCTGTTGTTTAATCCCCCTGAGAGAAACAGCAGTCCTTTTTCTGGGGTTCTCAATATAAAACCACTACTTGAAATTTAAAAAAAAAAAATTATCTTCTAGCAAGAAGAGAAATGACAGCAGTTACCTCCAGCTGTGGCAATTAAAAATAAACACAGCAAAGAAATATAGCTTAGATAGCTTGAAATAGGGAAATTCAAATGAGTTGCTCAATTTTATAATCACTTTTATCCCCATTTAAACTTTTCTTTTTGAGCTGTTTTGGTTCTGAATGAGAAAGAACATACTTAAGATCTTAACATACTTTTGCAATTTAAAAACAAATAAATGTTATTTTATTTCCCATCTGCAATTCAGTACTAATCTAGTTATGGACTATTTCTGGATTTGCTTTTAATATATGTAGGCATTTTATTCCAATTTATAGACGAATGATCTGTGAAAGTGCTGTCTTATGTATATGTGTCTTCTTTAAAAATCTGTGGCTTTTATAGGCATATATATATATTTTTCTCTTTCTTGAAACTAGCAGCCCCGTAGAGTTTCCGAAAACATAAACTTGTCAGAATAACCATTGCCGAAGTTTATTGTGACTTTTCCAAACAAAGCCTAAGAACACCTGGCTCTCTTGAATATGAGCCTCCATTTAAGAGAGTCCTAGTCTTAAGTTCCTGGAGTGGTCTGCGAAGTTGTTGCCAGCTCTTATCAGTATTGTTTAGCTATAGATGTTGGCTTTCCTCCTGCTTTCAAACTGCCTTTGCTGGTGTCTTATTTCCATTGAGGAAAACTTGAAGAACTGTTTAAAAATATCCAGGAGATGAAGAAGAACTGATTTACTGAACAGTCTGCTAGATCACTGTTTGGTGAAGTGGATACAGAAAGCCAGTGCAGAAAGACTTGCTGAAAGAGTGTAGCTTCACAATGAGATGCCTTAGTACCCTGTGCAGGGGTGAAAGGGGGATCAGTACCAGAAGATGAAGGATGGGAAGGCTGGAGAGTCAAAGAGAAAATGAAAATGGACTCAGTAGAGTAGTAATAGATTCTTTTGAATACTTTCATATATTACATTTATTTAAAAAATCAAAACTACATATCATATGAGATTAGGTGCATGACAGTCTGTGAGAATAGGTGTGGCAGGGGGGAAGCTCTTTTAAGATTCAGTTCATGTTAAGGGGGAAAGCTTTCATAAAATCAAGTGAGTTCTACTGACCTGACCCCTTGCACTTAAATACAGCAATCAGATACTGTGATCGATGCCAGCTGATCAAACCTGACCGCTGCCACCACTGTTCTGCATGTGACGTGTAAGTGTCTGAATCTGGAATTACAGATTTTCTCTTCCCTGCAGTCGTCACTTTAGTGTGTTCATGCCTTCAGCGGGTCAGTTCCTTCCATTGGTGCAATATTATGGTGCTGCCCTATTATCTAATGTGGCAGAACTTTTTAGGAAACCTGCTTGTAGCTTTTTAAAATAAAGCTTATATTTAAAAATAAATTAACTAAAAAGTAAAAAAAATCATAGATTAAAAGTAAAGAAAGGTAGGTCTGAGATACCAGCACCAGAAAAAACTTATTATTGAACTGTTTCATTGTATCTTGTTTCTCTAGCTTTGAAACAGATTCATTTTGCTAAAAGTATTTATCTCAAAAATTGACAGTTATCACATGCCTTTAACATTTCAAAAACATCACTGTTACTCCCTATTTTCACTGTGAATCATCAGAGGAGTCTGCACAGGCACTGAAGACTGAGGCTATGCATGACAGTTCAGTAGGCTGAACTTGAGGAAATCTCATTAACTGAAAAACCTAATACACATCTTTTGGCTAAAATCAAATTTGTTAGCAAATACAATTAATGTCTCTGTGTCTGAAATGTCTAGTATCTGTCTTTATATTAAAACTGGATTAAAATGGGATGTGAACTATTCAAATTGCCCTTTGTGCTGATCTTTCCCTCCATTAGCTTTAAAAAAAAAAGGCAAGCAGCAAACAAAATGGTAGCAAAAACAGCCCTAAGGTAGACTTAGTTGAAGTGAATGCCAGGCTAACACACCTTATCCATACAACCCTGAAAGATCCTCTGGATTTGTTTTCTCTGCATGCACATAAAAACTGGTGTGGCTTAATGAGCTGGTACATGGTGTTGCTCAGTAATGCTCCCCGTGCTAATTTAGGAAACTTTCCTCATAACTCTTCTGAATCTCAATTGGTCCTTTTGGGTGAAAGAACAGCTGCTGTAATATAGAGAATTGGTATGATTGAGAAAGGATTGAAAAAGATATAGTAGGGAAAATACTTGGAAAAAATCAATCAATAAAAAACACACAAAACTGTAGAAGCTAAAGTTGTGTATCTTAGAAAGAAACTATATCTTTTGTCTTAACTTGCTGGAAATTCTCTCTTTCAGATGTGTGTTAAAAATGGACCACCACTGTCCATGGTAAGTTTTTTTTTAAAAAAAAAGTCAGTATAAGAGTGATGAATTAGTTGCTGCTTAAAAAATGCACTTCTGAAGTAAACCTTGATTGTCACAGAAGTTCTTTACTATGTGGGAATATATCTTGTTCTTAATGTGTGTTGGAGCATAGAGTTGTAAGCCCAGTCATCCAAACTGTGCAGTTTCTCCTTGTGTAGAGAAACCTTGGCATTAACGAGACCTAAGAGAAAAGGCATTTCTTTTTTTTGTTTACTCTGGTGGTGGTAGCAGGAGAGGAGATGCCCACTGCAATGGAGCCCACTGCCACATACAGTGGAGATGATATGTATGACCCATTCAGACTCTTCTGCAGTTTGTGTTCACTGGCAGTCAGTAAAAATATTATCTGCTGTCACTGTGAAAAATATTACTACCAGTGGTTGACTTAGGGGTGGTTTTGTAACCAAAGCTGCATCCACTGAAATTGATGGCAAGGTTCATGTTACTTTCTGTGGTGACTGCAGTTAGTTTGTGGTGGGAATTGCTTCCTGTATGGACTGTCTGTATTGTAACGCTTTGCCAGCTCGTGTCCTGTCCTACAGAATCATGGGGGGCAAAATTTATGCTAGAGGCCCAGATCATTCAGCCTAAGAAATTTCCTTCAAAATAGTGGCTTAAAATGCTTCTGAAACAGTAGTGCCAGAGTGTTTTGAACATACCACTGACATCATACACATTTTTCTCTGCAAAAGCTGAATGTATTGTGGGTTTTTTGTTTGTTTTATTTTTTGTATACCTCAGTAACATTTTTCTCTTTCCCCTCCTTCTAGGGTGAATAATTGTGTGGGATTTTCTAACTACAAATTCTTCCTCCTGTTTTTAATGTATTCCTTACTGTACTGTTTGTTTGTTGCTGCTACAGTCTTGCAGTACTTCATAAAGTTTTGGACAGTAAGTTCTAAGGCTTTTTTTGGTTGCTGTTCATTTGTTTAATCCTGCATGTGTTATTGGAGGCTGCATCAGCATGTTGTCACTCACCATTTACTCTGTTCTGTGGTTCACTGTCATTAATGACATCAATCAAAGTGACTGAAGCAGGAGAACCTTATGAATTTTGATGAATTAAATGTATTACACTGCCCAGGATGAATAACTGGGAGAAGGAGTTTTGATGAGGACACTGTGTAATTTCTCCGCTCCATCAAAATTGAGTGTCACAGCTCAGGTTTTTATGAGACCATGGGATACAGATACATAGGTAAAGGAAGAACTGGCCACATCAAACAATTACGTATGTGTAGGAGTATATATATGTATGTCTATATAAAAATATTGACAATTGTAAATATAAATAACAATTTTGTATCTTCTCAGACTTGTCTATGGATAACCTGCTGCCAGATAAGGCAAATTAATTTGTTGTGAATTGTCTGAGCTCTGTTTTTGAGTTCCTACATAGGCATGTCTGAACTTCATATTAGTGGCTTTTATGATCTGGTATGAGTAGAATGCGAAGATATGTGCAGTGTGAATGCTATGCATCTTCCCTGCAACTGTTACCAGTTGTCAGACAGTTAATACATATACATACATCTTAATATGTTTAATAATACATATACATACATCTTAATATGTTTAATGATATTTATGTGAAGGCAATAATCCTTGTATGTCAGTGTTATATTGCTCCTATCAGTTTTGTTCCAGTCACGTTCCAGGCTGAACAGAGTGCCTTCTGTAGTTGTTTCTTTTCATCTACAGAAACTTGTAACATGCCTTCCTATCTCTAGGCTGAAGTGTTAGTGGCAGAATTCCCTTAATCATTTCCATTAATGAGCATGCAAAAAAGGACTGCAAGTGGAAGTGTCTCAATCACATCTTTGGGTAAATAACACCACATATTTCTTAGATGCTGGCTGCTGTCAGAGTAACTGGGAAAAGCAGTAATTATCTGCAGGAGTAGATATCGATATTAGCTTTACTGGAGCAAAAGGTTGCTGCCATGTCAGGGTAAGAGAAGCTTGATCATGTATTCAAAATAACTATACTTTGAGACAGTTGGCATTAAGTAAGATAAATGGTGCAAAAAAGTTCATACTCATCTAATCTTGTGAGTCTGATCTGCCAAAGTACTGTGTTTCTCTTAACCTGTCAGGTCTGTATAGCAGCATGTCACTGGAGATTAAGGAAACGTGGGGATTGAGCTGTCAGTATTGTGAGATGAAAGCCATAAACGTGTTTATCAGTCGTAGCTGGATCTTAAAAAATATTTCAAATTAAATGGTCTGATTCTGCTATTCAGTCTTGCTTGGCTGTAAATAGTTAAATTTTCAATCCATGAATGTGCCATTTCCAAACATCTGCCTGGCTGCTTTCCAGTGCTTTGTGCACAATTTCTAAGGAAACTCTTACATATTTACCAGTCAGTGCTTGAGCAAAAAAAAAAAAGAAAAAGAAGAATTTGCTTTCTTAGCTTGCTTTATAATCGTTAGTGCAACAAAAAAGGCCACAGGACAACTGACTATGATGAACAAACGTTTAATACCAACATCTGCAGCAGGACTCTTCCAAAGCCCATCGGACACAATGTTGAAGTGGACTCTTGAACAGAGGAAATAAACTCAAGAGGGATTTTTTTATTATTATTGATTCAGTTGTTAAAAATGCTTCCTGCAAGAATGGGCTACTTCTGAAATGTTACAATAGACAACGTAATTCTGTACTTGCTTTCAATTCCGGATGCTTCCAAGGCAGAATCTAGCGATGGCCTGACCTTATCAGTAGAATAGGTCTCTGACTCACTTTACTCATATTAAGTCACCCACTCCACTAAGCTGAGGCTCCTCTGATCTTATAACTGACTTACTAAAGTACATTTCCAGAAAGAGGTGGCAGCTCCCTAATCATGTGGGCTTGCAAATTTTTGTATGTCTCATGAACATAAGCTTTTAGGCAAGTGCCTCTTGGAAGGTTCTCTCCACATCTGCATGCAAACCAAAGCAGAATGCTGCTGACACGTGCTGTCTGTAGACTGCTTCAGTATATTGCTAATGCTCAGCTTTGTCTGCTACAGCATCAGGCAGATTGCTATTTGGACATTTTCTGCTGAGACTGTCGAGATGCACAGAACCACTGAATGTTATATGAATATGAATGACCCTCAAAGATCATTAAGTCCAACTCTTCTGTAAATGGCCCATACAGGGATTAAAAACATACAAGCTTGGTGTTACTAGCACCATTCTCTAAAACTGAGCAAATCAGTATTGGTTTTTCCCCCCAAAGTTTGACTATAGGAAATGTTGCTGTATACCTTCAGGAGGTATTGCTTATTTTTTGCTTCCTCACAGATGTTTTTCAGAGATTGTGCAACAAACAGTTGGATATATCCAGTGTTGGAAAGAAGTATGGACTGCTTCTTGGGGAATGTAGCCTGGGGGAAGAACTTGTAATGAGGTTGTGGAGGTGTATGTGCTAGCTACACAAATGTAGCAATCCATTGTTTTGCACTGTTGATAATACTTGCATAGAGACACGATGCTCCTACGCAAATACTTGGAAACATTGTGAGACAAGCACACCTACCAAACTCTTCTATTGAAGAAAGCCTTTGTGTTTCTCACTTGCATGTGCAAGACTTGTACACAGCATATTTCATGCTCTATGCAGAAGTGCTGAAGTAAGGTCTTGATTTTGTGCATACAATAGTGGAACGACTACACTGGCTGAAAATGTTTACCACAGGCTTGCACCCTGATGCTGATGTTAAAATCTGGTTTGTAGATCAAGGGAATGTGACTGATTCCTTTTCTTATACTCATAACTGCTTTTTCTGTACCCATGATGTTTTTATTTCTACCTCAGAGGTTGTTAAAGAAAAAAAATACCTGTTTAACCAAATGTATTTGACACAAACACCAGCGCTGGCTGGACACCCAGTGCTTGATGCCTTGCTTTCACAGTACATAGTGGTGCTCCCCAGCTTATATTCGTGTCTGCTCTTATTCTTGCTGCACTGACACCTCCTTAGAACTATTAGGTTTTCCAGTAATTTTCAGTGTCTTTCACTGTCCTCCAAATTAATTTTCAATCCTGAGTATAGCTATATAAATGATGTGATACATGTCCTGGGTGGATGGCACATGCTTCTGCAAAACTGTTGTTGTATTAACAGTAGGAGGGTAAAAAAATAGGAGTAGTTCCATATCATTAGTTAGAACTCAATCCTCTTGCCTATACTAAGGATGTAGACCAGATCTGAGTTTTTTTCAAAGATTAGGCTAGACCCTATCTACTGAAAAATGATGAACAAATCAAGCTCAGACAGCACTTTTTTGTTTGAGTGTTTTTATGACCTGATTCCAAATGACTCTGTGAAGGAGTTTGCAGGGAACTCTTGAATAGCGACTGGCTTCAGCCTATTGTGTGCTAAGTAGTCCAGATTGTGTTGTGCAAATTGCTTCCTTTTGTAAACTCTGCAGCTCTCTCACCTGCAAGTCTCTGCTTCTGTGCTGCTGAGCATAATGATCTTAAATAACCAATTTCTAAAGTTTCACTCTTTTCACATGAGGAGGCATGTGGACTGCTGCTAGAACACCACTGTGAATAAGCTTGTTATACACACTCAAAAGACTGCATGCTTCTCTCCAGTAAAAAACTGGCCTTTTTTGAAAGATGCTTCAGTTCTGCAACTGTCATTCAGGAAGTTACAACCAGTGGCTGAATCTGGGTAGTCAGAAGAGGTAAATGTTCCTTGGGGATCATACAGATTAATCATGCATAATTTAAAAAATCCTCCAGGTTATAGAGCTGATGGTTTAGGGATATGCAAGTGAAATAAACTTAGATTTTCTGACCCACAGAAAACACAAAGACTAAGCTGCTGCTGCTCTTTCAGCATCAGAATAAACTCCTGAGAATTCCTTGTAGAGAATTATTTTGTTTAAATATGTGATTTCAAAAGAGTCATAGGAATTAGAGTTACAAAAATCAGTTGGGCAGGTGGGGAACACAGCAGTGTGCTCTGAGGTAGAAAGAGTTATTATTGCTTCAACATGAAGCTTAGGAATAAGCAACAACTGGAGTATTTTGCTAGGCTGGATTTCAGTGGATCGCAAACCACAACATATCCCTACTGCAGGTGGAAGAGGAACTGTTGCACGAATTGTCAGTAAATAAAATGGCCAGCAAGAAGGAAGCTGTACTTAAATGGCAGTTTAGATAGCTGGACTCTGCTTGTCATTTGCTTACTGTAGAATAATCTGATGGCAGCCAGCACTTTTGAAAACACTGTGTATATCTGCCTGACTCTAATGTAGATGCTTGGGCTCTCACTAAACTTTTTGCACATATTAATGTAATTTAAAAGCCATACATCTTGCCTCCAACAGATTAAGTGCTAGCTTCTTAGCCAATACACCACTCTTTAGGTATAAAGTTTGGAATTAAAAGATAATTTGAACTCAGCTTTCCTGTTTCTTCCTTTGTTTTCTCAAGCACTGGTTCAATTTCAGGTGTTATACTAAAGATGCATCCTACAAACTGATTTGTATTGAAGGAAACTAGGAAGGCTAAAAACTGCACTGATTTGTTATCTGATCTTTTTTGAATGAAGAAAATTGTGCAAAGAATGGCAATTTATTTTTTATGGTTTTGGCTGAAATTACCATCTAATGGTAATGGTTGTGTTCTGAAGTCAGAAAGATTTTGTAATTAATAAACCATTACTTTATACCTCAGGAGTATTCTGAGCTTTTCAGACCTTTGTGAATGGTTTCATCATACAGAATATTCACATAAACCTTACTTGTGTTGGAAACAACTAGTAAGCAAGGAAATTGGAATAATCATGCTGTCCAAGCTGAGCAACCACTTGAAAGAGATCCAGTCACAATCTGAATTCCAGTACTTCTATGCTTCAGTAGAAAGTTTCATGCCTTGGAAGTTAGTAGTGGGTTCTTGCATACTTCTCCATTTTCTTGGAGAACAGGGGAATAAAGCTGCTGATGTGCTTCGGAAATTGGCACATCCAAGAGCACATTTGCACACCAACCATTTTGTTCTTAACAAAGCCTGTGCTGTTTTCAAAAACTCTGTCTTAACATAATACCAGTGTTTAATAAATTGTCTTTCTTTGCACAAAGCTTTGCCGCAGGAAAGCTGCAGAGAATTGTCCTAAGGTAAAATTCAATATTGCTGTCATTATTTAAATATTGTTCCTACTACAATTTTTCTAGTCCAGTCATTCGTGGCAGATATTTACATCATCACAGAAGGAAGGAGACTAATAATCTGTTGCCTATGAATATAAGCCATGTAAAGGGAAAAGGATATGCCTATGTACACTTGATCTTAATTGAAATGTGTTTTAGCTTAAAAAAGAAAGCCAGCCATAGATAAATGGGTGTACTGAATGTGCTAATGGAAAAAGTAATGGCAGTAATGCTAAGTAAATAGCTGAGTAAAAATAGCCTCTCTGGTTTCATAATGTTGTTAAAGGTCAACTGCTTGAAAGTGCTGTGATTTTGAGGATACAGAGCTGAAATAGTATTCTTACAAATCCCATTGGCCTTTTGAAAGTGAAAGTCTGAAAATAGTTCGGGGTGGAATCGACAATCTGATATGAGTGGGAGTTGGTTTCTTTATGGTGGTTATACTGAAATTGTTGTTTTTTACATAGATTTCTGGTGATTCACTTCTACCTGGTCAGATGTAGCAAATTTGTTTTGTTAGGTACATGCTGGTTGTTGCTTAAATATTAGAGGTCATCAAAAATTGAAGATCTATCCCATGTCTTATTTAGGACTTGTTCATAACAACCATTTCCCTTTTACACTCATTATTTCAATTAAGAATTAGGTTCAGTATTATTAGCTTGTGGCAGGAATTACACTTTTTTTCCCCTTCAGAGGAAGTGACTTTGGACATATTTTCCCCATGTCTCTTCGGCTGTGGCTGCACAACTAACATTTTCTGATACAGAAAATGTTTTGCCTTGTCCCCTACTGTGCATTTGAAAACCACGAATGAACATGTGCCCTCACAGTACTAAACATGATGGGGAATGGGTACCCAGGAGATTTAAATGCTGTTGTTTTCCACATTAACGTGACATTAAAGGAAAGCTGGGCTGCTGCTTTTCTTTCTTGGTGAAAACTGAGGTGAAAGACCTATAGCAGTCTGGGTGTGGCAGGAAACTGCCTTAGTTGTTAGAAAGTGTTAACATATTTATCTCTTTCTCTCTTTCTCCCCAGAATGAGTTGCCAGATACCCATGCAAAGTTCCACGTCCTATTCCTTTTCTTTGTGGCAGCCATGTTCTTCATCAGCATCCTGTCACTCTTCAGCTACCACTGCTGGCTAGTTGGCAAAAACAGATCAACTATAGGTCAGTTCATTGGGATATGGAACTTTTCCTTGTCCAGAAAAACAAGAATTCAGTGAGAATGTGAAGCCTACATGATCTGTCATCACATATAAATTTATTTTTTCAACACTGTGCAATAAAGAGCATATTTGGTCAAAGTAATTAAAGGTGAAACAGATGGGAAAATTAAGCCTGTAGGGTGTCCTCTGCTGGAGCCAAGCATTCAGATTCATGACTGTTCATTTCTCTTGTTGATATTTTTGAGACCTCTGAGGCACCATGCCTCAAATTCGTTGTGTTTTTAAGCGTGAAGTACGTAACCCAGTTGCTACTTGCCACTCTGTTGTTCTAATACTTTGAGTAGCTAGGTAGCCCAAACCAAATCAGAGGCTCTGCTGTACATGAACATGTACTACATTTTGAACTAGATACAAATGAGTATTCTTAAATCCTGTGAAAGAAAACTGACCTTATTGTTGGGAAGTGGCTTGTAAAAGTGCAATAAAAATGAAAACACTGATGCGCATTTCCTAGATAAAAAGAGATTCCCATCATTTTATGCCTAAACATTTTAAATGGCATTGATCAGTGAAACCAAGCTATGTGCATTTAATTAAAATATTTTAAGTTCTTGCTAGAAAACACTTGTGAGAGTGTTTTTTGCAGTGTGTGGGAGGACAGGGACTGATGAGTATTTCTACAACTGAGTAAGTCAGAATCTTATATCTTTCATTGGAATTTAAATTTCTAACCTCAAAAATAAGTGGATTGATTAAAAGTAAAATAATTTCATCTAGAAATTTTTTGCTAGAATTTTTTGGTTGGCTGATAGGCGAGTTATTTGAATTCTTTTTATTTTGACATAGCTACAGTTATGGAATATTCACAATTTCTTTTTAGCTTTGAAGAAAACTTCAGCATATTACTTACCCAAAAGTCAGTGGTCATAATTGGCAACACAGTATTTTATCTGTTTTCTGGATCATGATTGTAAAAAGACAAAATACTGGTATGGAGAGAGAGCGATGAGTCCTCTCAGTTTTTAGCCAAGGGTGTAACTGGACTGAGTAGAAAAATGGGGGTGGTTTGCTATAGTTCATGGTGTGTCTGTTTCTAATGTAATAGATTTTATCTTCCTCTGATAGCATGGGATGCTCTTAATTCAGCTTCCTAACTTGGCAGATGTGAAAAAACCTCTTCTGTATGGGCTTAGGTCCAGCAGTGCTTATGATAAATTACTCCTAAATGGGAAAGTCTTCTGCTTAAAGAGGGCTGAAGGGAGATCAAGTCATCAAGAAATAAGGGATATATGTGCCTATCTTTGGCATGCTGATGGTACTTAGCTTTGTCTCAGACTTCGTTAAATGTAAAGAGAAAAAGTTAACAAGGTGACTGCTCTGTTTACCCGATTTTCTCATTTTCCACTAACCCTGTGGTTTCTTTCTCTGATTACTTGAGATTGTTTTTTCTTCCCCTCTGCCCCCCATAATATATATCAAGATCACCTCACCTTGCCCAAAACTGGTTCCACAGCAGAGAAGTTTGTTTCTTTATGCTCCCTGACTCCTTATTGGTTTAATGAATTGCATGTTTTTATTTTGCAGAAACATTCCGTGCACCCACATTTCGAAACGGTCCTGATAAAAATGGCTTTTCTCTTGGATGCAGCAAAAATCTAAGGGAGGTTTTTGGAGATGAAAAGAAGTATTGGTTACTCCCTATCTTTACCAGGTATTCAGTCTGAACAGTAATGAATTAGGGAATTAATTGATTTCAGGACTTCCACCTTGCTTCCTTTTCTACTGAAAAATAAGGCACAGCTGAAAAGCCAGCTTTTGTATCCGGTACAATAAATATTGGTGCAAGGAAAATGTGCAAGAGAAAACTATCATACTCCACACAAGGTTTTCATTCAAAGACAGTGAGTTTGTTGACAAGAGATTTTTAAATGCAGAAATTTGGAAAGCTTTTAGAAGCGTATTGCAAAAATTATACACATTTTGGTGGTAGTCTCAGTGATTATAGAGCAGAAATCAGCAACTCAGGGGAGATCAAACTGCATCACAACAACATCAGTTTAAAACACCCCCTCTTGCCCCTGGAAAAAATCTGATATTATGAAAAATGCTGGATTTAAAATGTCAGCTGAGCCAGCATTAGGTAGTTGCAGACAAGCCTGATGAAGCAAGACTGACATGCTGCCCACTCCCAGCACTATCAAACTTCAGCAGAATGAAGTAGGAATTGTGTTTCAACACTGCTCTGTGTATCAGGTAAAAATGTTGCTGAACCTGTTTGTGAAGCTGAGATCTGGTATCAAACAGCAGAGGCAATACCAGCAGCTTAAGTTGACTCAGCTGTTTGTTCAACTACCATGTGATTAAAGACAGAAACTCCGGTGTAGATGGCTCCATCTGTTTTGCTACCACATATTATCCTGATACACTTTAAAAGAAGGCTTAGCTAATTTCAAAATTAGGGGTGAAGGGGAAATCATGGCCACCAGAATGTTATTTATGATACAGCTTCTGAGGCTGTAAATACCAGAGAGTCTAGCCATGTGAGCATGCTGGTTTGGGAGATGATTAGGGCTAGAGCCTACTGAAATACATCTGTGTTTCTGAAATCCACAGACTTGTGTTGTGCATAGCAATCCATACTCAGTGATAAGGGTGGGAATCAATTGAGCTCCAAGATTTAATTAACTGATCATCTGATTTAATGGTAGAACTGCCTTGCTAAAGTCTGGAGTTCAGTACTGTGCTCAGCTAATTGATTGAGCCTGTAGCCTTTGCCTCTTTCATGGGTCCTTGTTCAGATCATTTAAGTCAGCTACCAGCAGTGATTTGTGTCTTTGTTTCTCATTTAGTTTGGGTGATGGATGTAATTTCCCTACTCGTTTGGTAATTATGGATCCAGAGCAATTTGCAGTCTCAAGCCAAAATGATCCTGCCAAAAGGTAACTATAGCACTTAAAATTCTGATTTTGTACTGTTTAGTACTTATCTAGAGAAAAAAAAAATTGTCTCAAAGTTATTTTTTTAATTCTCTATGCTTCTTGTCATCTTCAGAGTAAGTTTGTAAGTCTTCAGTGAAGGATAGAATGGATTAAGACTAAAAACTTGACTGTGTGTTGGTTTTGTTGTAACAGAGGACAAGGCTCTAAGGAAGCATTAATACAGAAAGTAAGAGAGCTTACTGGCTCTTAACAACAATCAGAAAATTCCTAGGAAAGACTGAATAGTCATCCATGGAAAAAAAAGAGTTTTGATTATTTGTTTGTTTTGGGTTTTTTTTCTGAAAGGCAAGGTATTATTTGTATTTCATCTCCTTGAGCATGCTTAAACAAGTAATGCTGAGACAGTTACAAGAGAAGTAGATCTCTCATGCTGGGGATTTTAGCTCATTACTTTTTATTCCTCCCAAATTTGCATGTTTTGTATCTTCAATGTATTTCCAAAGAGACAAGAGTCTCTGTGTACAGTTTCTGGGATGTTTACATTTGCCACTTTAGAAGGCTTCTGCATAGTTTGGTGAATTTGTAAACTGAAGATTGTTGCCAAGAGCTACTTGAGTTACCAGGCATTAGAGGACTGAAGGGCAATACAGAGAAGAAGTTGCTTCCAGTGCAACATAACCTGTGGAATTTACACAAGAATAGGACCCTTGTGCAAACAGCAAAGTATCCTTTTACATTCAGAAGATTGTTCAGAAGAAGGCCCTGGCATTTGCATGGGATAAGATGGCATTTGTTTGCTCTTCCAGATGGAACTACATAGATTTTCTTTTTAGCTGTGTGGCAGTGTTATTGCCAGGGTGCTATTTTTTTATGTATCAATCCATGGGTTTTTTCCATTACAAGGGAGTGGCCTGTGTCAGGTAGGGGTTTATTTTAGACAGATGACTAGAACAAGCCTGTAGAGGAATTAGATTTGGGGGCAGGCAGCCATTTCCAGTTGGCATCATAAGGTCTTTTGTTGTTAGCTTTGCTTTTAAGTAACTTCACTATTCTAGAAATGTCTGAAGCAGCTACTGGTATTACAGAATTCCTGTTGACTTTGCTTCTTTTTCAGCTCTGTAGCCAATCAGTCCTTTCCTGCTCGACCACTCAGTGAATCACAAAATCGGTTGCTATCTGGTGATTGTCAGTGGGTGGAAACTGGCCCTGAAGAGGAAAATGTGAAATCAGGTAGTGGTTTTGTTTGTGGTTCAGTTTTCCGTTTTTTGTTGTTTTTTGGTGCCTAGAAAGACCTTAGGAATTGGCTGGAGTGATATAGAAGAAAATGTGTTCCATGGAATCAAGTCAGGATATTTAGAAGTTAAGGCTAATTTGCATCCTATGTTTTGCTCCAAAATTAGTTATTGTGTTAAGGTAGTGGATGGCAGATGGATAGATAATTCTCACTTTTGCACTTCAGTTCTGAGATTTGGGATCTTTTATGTTTGGTTAGGGGGAGGAAAATATTTTTGTAAAGTAGGCACAACACGGTCAATGTGCTTTCTAGTTTGAAATCTTTGCTATTTGTTATGCGAATCTGCAAAAACACATAATTGAGATTCTCTCACCTTCTAGGTGCAAAAAAGCATATTATAGTTTCATTGGAAAGCTGATCTCAGCTAATTACTAACCAACCATCTCAATGAGAAACAGGTAAGACTAACATAACTGATTGCTGTTTCTGTACATGTTTGAATAAAATTGATGCCTCAAAGTCAAAAATCAACTAGTCATGGAATGCAGAGGAGTCCTCTGATACTGGATGAGTAATAGTGAAGTCTAAACAAAATTCAGAGTGGCTGTTGAGAAGACAAGAATGGGAGTACTGCTGTAGTGCAGGAAACATGGGCTGGCTAGGCCTGGGATGAGTAAGAATTATCCTGTAATTTAGATTGAAGTGGGTAGTGCTGGATTTGTTACCAGAAAAGAATCTGATGCTAAATGCAATTCTGAGATGAAATGCTGTCTTGAGGAAGAGCTCCTTAAATGTCTTTTTCTTAATCATATACTGGTGGGCCATGTTCTGCACTTTAGGAAATTGCATGTGCACAAGGAAGGTCAGTAAGTGAATACAGGTCTCTGCATACAGACTGCTCTGTCACATTTGGAATTGACTGTGATCTTTTGGAATGTTTTTTGCATTAAAATGCCCTGTATGCTCTTTGCGTTTAGGAAATACAGTGAGTGCTGGTGTATATATAAAACTTCTCTTGGTGTATTTCCAACGACTAGATTAGACTTCTTTTATATTGACTTTCTGCTGTGGTGAGCTTATAAGCTCCCATTAAGTCTTTCTGACTGAAAGAGAAGCAAATCTTATTTGGACAACTAACAGCTGTAGAATCTAGAGCTGAGTCATTATCCCCTGCCTTTTTTGATTATTTTTTTTTTTGGTTGTTGTGGGTTTTTTGGTGGGGGGGATATAACTTTTTTTTATTATTATTAGATATAAAACACTACATTTGAATTTGGTAAGCTCAATAATTTCAGGATTACTTTTATTTTCCCTTTTAATTTTTTTTTTAAGGAGCCTTCTGACCTAAAATTATAGTTTTGGGGGAGGGTTGTTTTGTTTTCAAGGAAAAAGAAACCTTTCTAAAAGGTCTTTGTGGGTGATGGTGTGATGCTTGGGCTGATGATGTTGGTCAGACGGCTCAGTGTAAACACACACAAAACCAAGATTAGACTAGTTAGTTAGGATTTCTGAAAAACCTATTCAATTGGTTCAAACTCACCAATGGTAAGTTTCCCTTTTCAACTTTTCTTAGTGCCATATAGATGTGCAAAAGAATATCCCAAGCAAGGGGTTCCTTTCAGCCTCCAGCTATATAAAACCTAATCTGACCTAAATAGGTTACGAAGGCTTTTCTGTTCTTCATGGAGCAGAATAGAAGTTTCTGAGAGCAGCTCATCCCAGCAGCCTTTGATAGGGTATTATAGAAAGATCTTAATCTTTCTTTCCACTGACCTAGAGAGAAAGCATAGATGACTGTCTTAAACTATACAATTAATTGGTAATAGTTTGAGATTAATTTATTTTCTATCCTCTCTCTCTTCCTAAAGTGAGGCCAGATTTAATAAAGGAAGAATTTGTACTTTGTGTTACACTTGCCCAAACTACACTAGTTTTAGAAGTTCTATAAATAAAAGTGTATAATTGTACCCAATGCAAAAGCATTTGGATATGTATTACCTTAAATTAACTCTGTAACACATTGTTTGAACCATTCTGAGTTCAGTTGGATTTGATCACAGTTTAGGCCAAGGTTGTTAATTCCAGACCTGCATTTCTAAGCAATTCTGCAGTAGCTGTGAGATCCAGCATGTGTTCTATGCACTTCCATAGTACCCTGTAACAAGCCAATAATTGTATTTTTAAATGTTGGGCCTGTAACACACAGCAGAAGCAAAGTCATGGATTATTCTAGTGTATGGAGCTTAATTTGCAGAAGACAGACATACCCCAGGCTCACCTAGGCAAATACTATTTGTGTCCTCACATCTATCAGTTTAATTCAAAACCTGAATTGCCAGTCAGGGATCAGGATACTTTAGACACAGATCAGCAGTGATAGATTGATGTTCTTAGCACTGATAAGCTTCTAAAACATAAGAAGTGTGAAACAAAAACGCACACCTCCCAGAAAGCTATTTATGAGTTGAAGTTGCCTTAGCTACCTATCTTAATCAGAAGTCTGTAAATCATATGACCCAGGTGCATTTGTGTAATGCATGTGTTTTTTCAAAGATGTGTTTTTTCAAAGCTGATTGGATAATTCCATTAATTACTTTTTTTTTTTGTTTCACTAGGTTTCTGCAACACATTTTGAGCTTGAATATTACTTAATTTTGTTTGGAAGAAGCTGAGCAGGAAAAAATGGACCATGAACATTTTAGGAAGAGACAAGAAATTCAAGTTTCTGCACAGTACAATGGATTCTTGTAAGCACTATTGCAGAGCAGGGAAGTTAAGACAGATGCCTTAAGATTCTTAATGTGCATTTATGCAACATTGAATTATATACTGCTACCAAAGGGCCAGATCCTGAAGTGCCCTGCTTGGATGCACAAGGTCCAGAGTGGGAACTATGCATTTCTTTTATGCTGCAGTGGTGGGGGTAGATTTCAGAGACTCCTACCTCCTCATGGGCAAACTTCATACCTTAGGCACTGCAGAAGTCACTTCCATAGCAGGTCTCCAGAGTACAGAAGGAAAGAAAAAAGGAAAAGGAAGAAAAAAAAGAAAAGAAGTCAGCCTAGAGCATGATCAGCAAGTCTGAAGTGGGAGTATACATAGTTCAGATGCCAGGTGATGGGGAAGGGACTAGATGATATCTTCTCCTCTCCTCCTATTAACCCCATGATCACAGCTCTCAAAGTCTTGTGGGACTGAGGGTTCCTTCTACTAGCTGTGCTTTGGAGCAAGGCAATGCCAACAACATAAAAGCCTTTAACTTGGGTGTTGCTTTTTTGCTATAGGGTTGAGCTTCCTCATCATTTTAACTTGATTTATTTAACCATACCAAGGACAGAGCTCAAAGAAGAAAGCTTGTGTTTTAGTTGAAAAAAACGTGGATTATTACTTTCCAACAATTGTCAGCATACAAGGAAAAGGCAGTACAAACAGGAATTAACAATTACTGTATTTTCTGTTACTGTTTGCTGTGTTCTTTGTAAGGCAGCAACAAAATGGTAAAGTGCCCCTGAGAAAAATCATAATTGCAGTTGTTGTGTTGCTAGAAAACAGAACCAGCAGAGTACTGCTTTTTCCATGGGAGTCTTGATGGTTTATAAATACTGTTTTATACTTTTGTTTTATCTTTTTAATGAAGGCACAAGGTTTTATTGGTTCTAAAATACAAATATCAGGTACTTACAAGAAGATTAGTGTTGGATAATAGATCTATGTTAGCACACTGAAAAATTGCATCCTTTAGTCTCCCACTTTCAAGTCCAGTTTGAGTGATGCTGAAACTGCTGAAGACTGATGGCTTTGTGCAGCAATGTACCTATTCACAAAAGGCAAAATGTGTTTCCTGTGTGAAGAATCAAGCCTGTCCCATCCTCAGCTCAAGACCTACAGCAAACAACGTGGGGTTTTTTTCCTCATTCCTCTACAGAGAAGACTGCTAACTCATCTTTGGTGGTATTGGAATTTTGCACCTGGAAAAAGTGACAAATGCTATTTTTCTGTCTGTAACTTTTCTGGTGTTCAGCTGATGCTGATTACAAATAGACATGAGCCCTCTTGATACAGACTGAAGGTAGTAGTCAAATTGATGATCTAGTCCAAAAGAACCTGTTTGGTTTGTCTCCCAGACTGATTGCTACTTGAGTTAAATATGTTTATGATGGAAATACTAAGGTATCAAGTATACTGTAAGGTTTAAAATAAGTATTTTTTGTCTTTGGATATCAATTTTTTCTTAAATATTAATCTTCTGGAACAAGAACTCTTTGAGAATCTATTATCATGATTTCACTGTTTGATGTTCTTGAGACAGAAGTAATGGTCCAAACTTGCATGTTTTATAAAAGTTGTAGAATGTTTCTTCAAACTTTGTACAAGAAATTTTGCATTTGCTAATTCCAAAACTTACAAAAAACGTTTGCTACACATCTTGATCTGAAAGGTTTAGCTTTTTCTTCTCAAGTGTTAAGTGAGAAGTGCCCATCTTAACATAAGCTCTCAGCAGTATCGCACCAGCAAAATTCCTTGGGGAAGATAACAGAGAAGGAACACTGCTTGTTCAAATGGCTTGTTCTGAATACCAAAATTTGCAGCCCCAAACACTGGTGGAACTGTCATGGAGGGCCTGGGATAACATCTGGCTTTTACTTCATCCATGTATTATATCTGAAATAAAAACAATATGTCCATGCATGGACATCATCTAGCAGAACAACAAAATGTTTATCAGAGTCCTAAGTATCACTGACTCGGCAATATGATCTCTGCTCCCCCCCACCCACTCCCCAAAGTGCTTCATATACCGCCCCCCCCATGAATGTATGTATCCTGGAGGCCAACATCAAGAGAATTTGTTTGATTTCTCTAGTCAGGATAGTGAATATACAGGAAAAATTGCAAGTAAACAGGCTGGGCTATTTCCATGTGCATTTTCTAGCAAGTGCTGCTTTTCTGAAATCACTTCTTTGTATATCTGATGGACATTTTTGAGGCTTTTCATGAAAAACTGACATTTCTGACATGTTTATGCAGATCACAGGAATATTTTGTCCTAGATTTTTCATATTTGAGGTGAATAAAGGAGAACAGTGGTTTTAGGATAATCCTGAGGTCAGAGTTATTGTTGGTGTAAAAGTAGGCATTACTGAAAGTCACTTTGACAAGTACAAAACATAGTAAAATGATTGAAAAATTATTCTCCCACATTTACCACCCCAAGCCCTTTTTTTTTTTTTTCCCCTAGGGGACTGAGACTAAGAGAAACCACAGGCTGATTTAAAGGAATTAAGTTCTCTAAGGGAATTGTACTGCTGAACTCGAAGGCCATTGAGTGGGATGGAGGAGTTAGGTTTTCCTGGCAGGCCTGGGCTTTGGGGGAGGTATCACGGCTAAGGCACCAGGAGGACATCCTCTGCCTTTGGAGTCTGTCCTGAGCATTCCCTAGGCTGTGCTGTGCCAGGAAGTCCATGAGGGAGCAGGATGGCTCTTTGGTTGTCAGTCTGCAAGCAGTCCTAGAGTCCCTAGGGCTGCAGGAAGAGATCATGTTGGTCATGAGATCAGAAGGGGGATGAATCCTGAGAAAACAACTGTTTAGGCTGTTGGGATGTGTTGTACGTGCTGGTTTTGTGCTTTAACCTACTCTGTATCAGGGAGTCTTGAAAATACCTAGGATGTCATTAAAAATAGCAGTCCTTAAGTTTTTAGATCCATTAAAGTAATGACTACTACAAGCCATACATAGTAGTTACTGTAGGATAGTTGATATTGGCTGCAATTAGAAATAGCATTTGTGTTTCATACTGTTTTTCTCTTTTAAAAAAATCTACATACACTCAAAAAAAAAGGTTTTAAATTCCCAGTGTGAGGACAGAAGCCTGATGTAGGGGAGGATTTCAGTGTGATTTGTTCTCCATTTTTCTGAAATGTCTTGAAATAAACCTGTGAATATGAGGCAGGAAAATACATCAATAGAAATTACTTGAAACTACACAATACTGGGGTTTTTTTCTTACTCACAGAGTGTCCAACACACACATCATTGCTGTTCCTGACAAAGGTGTATTATGGGAGGAGGGCAGGAAGAGGAATAGGTTTCTGTCATTAATTGACTTCCTACAGTATTGAGACTGTATTGATACCAGTCAGATGTGACTAAATGTGATTAAAAATCTCCATTTTAAGTAATCAAAGGGTTACTTTAGAGGAAGTTTGGGCACTTCTATTTTTAGTGATTTGAGTAGAAATCATGGTAACCTTTTTGTTAAAGCTGCCTCTTGAGTGTGAAATTTGCAAGTACCAAGCTACTTTTGCTATGCTATTCTTACAAACTGGTCCTGTTCTCCAGAGTGCTGAATACTTAAGAGTTTTCAGGTACTGTTTCTTTCCTCTGGTCTTGTGTGGCTCTTGTTTATTAATTATAAATCATCTTTTGGGTTGGGATGAATTTCCATACCACTGAGTATGCACACAAAGACTTCATGATCTAACTGAAGCATGGTCCGGCTATAGCTAGGCAGAGCCCCAAGAGGAAGGAAACTGCAGCGTTTGCAGCAGCATTAGTGTCTGGCAGGCTTACCAAGATGGGCTGATTCTGACATAGAATTGACCAAATATGCCTGGATCTGGAGCACTGACTGACCAGATTTTTATTAAAAGGTAAATAATAACAAAATCATGACAGCTCTGGGCTTCATAGTTTATGTTCTCCAAGGACACCCTCTAAAGTTGTGTCTGACTGGGGCGTTTGGGTGTGCATTTAGGGAGGCTCCAAACAGCAGTTACTTTTAGCTCACAAACATGTATTTTCACAGTACCTAAAGAACAGCGATACGTGCAACTTCAGAAGCTCTTCTATCCCCAAATGGCACCAAAGAGAGCAGGTGCACATGAACCAATTTAGTACTGAATGCATTTGTTACACTCATTTCTATCAATTTATTTTGTATATAGAGCTTTTTATACACATTTTTCTTAATTACATAACTGTCATGAAGCTATGAGTTGTAGTTTATTTTAATGCAGATTAAAACTGGCAGCAGTCAAGCAGATGTGTCAGCGATGAAGTATTTGTATTACTTTAATTATCACCAAAGCAGTGGGGGTGACGTGCTGATCCCCTTCCGTTTACACTGCTTAGCTGACAACTTAAGACACTTAGCATGGTCCTCTCTGATTTCTCCTGTCCTTTATCCTGTTATCAGCTTTATTGCGGGAAACTTAAATCTTCGTGAATGATGGTTTACAATCATGAAGCTATCCCAGGAAGAAGCAGCATTCCTGCTGTTAAGTCTGTTCTGTTTTTAACTTAGATGAATGAAACATCCCTGGGTTATCTCTGCAGTTCCTTTTGTATTTGCCAGCAAGGGTCATCAACATTTGCACTAATCACAATGTCCCAGCTGTTCTACTTCCACAAAGTTGTTTTTTTTAATTGTGCTGCCTAAACTTGTAATAAGCTGTATTTAAGTTTGGGATGACATGTAAAAGATACCTGTAATAACGATGCACTTATTGTATTTTTTTGTATGTTACAGATAGGACTCATCCTATGCACAGAGAAAATGTTTCCATTTATAGTTTAATACTTGAAGTAACTTTTTGAAACGGGCTTTTATAAATGAATTAAATACAAAATCACATTGCTTTGCCTGGAAGTTTCTTCATGTTTTAATTGTATTTGCAATTTCCCCCTATGTATACTTTTCCATTAAGTTCTCTTAAGCCATTTATAACCAATGAAAGTGCATTCAAGATTTTGTACATCAGTGTTCAGACCTGTTCATACTTCTCTGAAGTATAATTCATGTTTAATAAAGAAGTACCATTTTAAGCCTCTTTTCCAAAGTGGTATGGACTTGACACTTGAATTCATCAGTGAATGCAACATCAACTTAATAAAAGTATGTGAAAGAATCTGAAAAGTGCTCAGCTGTAGCATCTGTGTATTAAATCAGTGAGAAAAACTGTCTACCTGGGAGGCACTGCACCATTGCTCTGGTTTTTACACTCCAGCTACAACAAACCTAAGATTACACTCACTCTTGACACATCTTCCAGGTCACTGGGTCTTGAGGGGAAATAAAAAGCCTGACTTGTGGCTAACTCCTATTCCTTCAGGTCACTAAGCCTGACTTAGAAGTCAACTGCTCAAGCAGGAATCAGCCATGTTCCTTTTAGATGAGGAACAATCTGTGTAAGAGAGCTCTAACACCCAAGCTGACACTGACAATGACACTGGCAGTTAAAATCAACAATTCTTTCCAGAAAGTTTTTCTAAAAATGGAAAATTTTATAACATTCCATGAATTCCAGCTTCATCCCCCTGTCTCTGCAGTTCTAGTTCCCCTTGATCCTTGCATGCCTGACCGCAAGTGTCACGTCATGCCTCGAGTACTGGCGTACACAGAACAGTGCTTGAGAAAGGGAGAGTGACCAGCCCAAGCCATGTGGCCAGTACCAGCAGATGAGACCTTTCAACATTCCAGGCTTTCAGAAGGCAATCACTGAAGCTATAAACTAGGTTATCTATAAATCACCACCCCTGCACCTGGTAACATGCTGTTTAAGCCCTGAAGAACAGAAGGTTGGCAGATGGTAGACAGCCACAGAAAGAACTTCTCTAACAAAGCAATAATAAGAAAACATATGCTGTTCCAGAGGACTACTTTTAATGTAGCATTTTGTACACCACAGCAAAGTCTTATTTGTCACCCACCCTAATTACAGTGAATTACCATAATAGGCATGAGAGCAGATCCCACGGTAGTGCATGACAGATGCCAAATACAAATATGCTGTATTTATTCAACATGTCCACTTCTTTGACACATTTAAGTGGTTTAAATGATCGCTGATGTATCTGTGCTCAGGAAACTTGGCTTGTTTCAGGCTTTTGAAAGCTTCCCACTTCGCACGTCTCTCTTCGGCGTTGTGTTTGTATTCCTGTTCCGGCGTCAGGTAAGGTTGGCTGAGCCAGTATTCATTCTCTGCTTCAATTTCCAACCTTCGGATCATTGCTTGCTTCATTGAAGTGGTAACCTGTCTTGGTTGCCTGTACTTCCCAATCCACTGTTTTCCAGGAATTCTCTTCCGCAGTAATACTGTTGTTAAAAACATTTTGCCTTAAAACATAAACAGAAATACAAAATACTCATTACCTTAGGGACAAAAATAAAATTTTGACGAGATTAAAAGCTCTGCATTCACTCCACTGCCTCTTAGCTGGCCGGTCTGAAGTTTCACACTCAGAACCTGGTACTCACAAACCATCACACAGCAGGCAGCACAAGGCCACGTGCACTAGAAACTTAAGAATCAGAAAAGGGGAATTGAAATCTGTGTAGCTTAAGGATTTATTCAGTTATCCTTACACTGCAATTAAAACATATCCTCCATAAATTATTTAAGAAAAATCCAGTTACAGATACTCAAGAATGAAGGGTTCGCTTCACTCACGCCTTCTTCAAATAGCTGTGTTGTCAAAACAGAGTATTTCCAGCTCTGTCTTCTCACTCCAAACCTGACCTTTCCTCAGCATTAAGTTTGGAACTACAGTCTCTCCGTAAGCTTATTAGTATGTAATTACCTAGTCCTGTATCCTGACCGAAGGAAACCTGGTTGGTAGAGAAAAACAATATCCTGAATTAGAGCAAGTGGCGTAAGCGGAAAGCACCACGAGACTCTGACAGAACACGCCGGGTGTAAGGGGCAGGAAAGGCCGAATGACGTTCAGACTTTACGCAAATGCTCCTCGTTAACCTGTTCATTAGTCCCAAACCCGCTAACACCCAGGTTATTATATCCCAGGTTATTATATCCCGCATTACACGGGATTCCATCAGCTTTAGAGTCACAGAAAACGCGGAGTTGGAAGGGACCCACAAGGATCACCGAGTCCAACTGGCCTTGCACACGACATCGCCAGGAGCCACGCCATGTGCCTGAGAGAACTGTCCAAACCCTTCATGAACTCTGTCAGCCTTGGTGCCGTGACCAACCAAGTCAGCCAAGCACTTGTACCACAGCGCAAACCAGCACTGCCGCTAAGGGAAGCCAACCCACCCCGTTCCCACGGTGCAGCTACACGCCGGCATCCTACTCTCTGGTCCGATTTAGAAGCGAAGCCGCGGGGATCCGCGGGGGCACCGCGGCCCCAGTCCCCAGCTCCCCTCCCGGCCTCACTCACCGAGGAGTTCCGGCGGCGGCTGCAGCCCGCGCGGAGGAGCCAAGATGGCGGCGGGCGGGGGCCGCGGCTCTCGCGAGAGGCGGCGGTGGGCGGGGCCCGGCGGCACCAATGGGGCTCGCGCTGGCGGCAGTTTGAAGCCCCTCAGCGGCGCGCGCGGCCCTGCCCGGTTCGGTTTCGCTCAGCGTCGCCTCGGTCCCGCTGCCTCCGCTCGGAGCCATGGACGACGTGACCAGAGGCTTCTTCGGCAAGCTGCGGGACCTGGCCCTCACGGTGGAGAAGGAGGTGAAGCAGCTGGAGCGGGCCATGCGCCGGGAGGACTCCGGTAAGGGCAGCCCGCGGCCATGGGTGGCACGCCAGGGCCTGGTGGCTTCGCAATTGTTCCTCCTTGTTCCTCCTGGGGCTCCTTGCTCGGTTTGCGTTCCCCCCTGCCACCGTTCCCCTGTGCTCCCCTGGGAGTGCCTCTGGTGGGCCTGGAGGTCAGCCTGGGAGTTGCCCGGCTGGGAATTGTTTGGGCTCCTCCTCGTTATCTCTCTGAGCTCCTTTGTGGGTGAGTGGCTGAGTTGTTATCACGGAGAAAAACAGGATGACTGGGATGAAATGGAAATCACATTCCTGCTTCTCCTTCTTTTCGTGGATCGATATGGGAAAACATTTGCAGGGCACGGTCTCTCTCCGGACAGATAGCCCAGGCTTCTAATTGCTCTTATCTTGTCACGTAGCAGGCCCCGTCTTTTTGCAAATAGTGTTATTTGCATAGTGAAACAAGTGGTGATTGCTGCGTTGAGTAAGTGAGCAGTGCATCTGCCCAAGTGCAAATACGAGGGGAGAATTCAATTTTTCGCTGATATTTGGTTTTCACTGGTCTCTATATTACTTTTTTTCCGATTTCGTCCAAAGCTCTGTAAGGATAGAATTTTAACGTAAGTGATTCTTGACAGCCCAGGGACCTACTTGTTTTATCAATATCTGTCGTATACAGTATTAGCTGCAACATTAAATGGAAGCCTGGGCAGTGTCTCTGTGGAGTTTAACACACTGTAAAAAGAGCAGGTTTTTGCTGTGTAAGGTACCTGACAGGAACTAGTTCTCTTTGGTTTTGTCTGTACTGACTCTCTTTCTCTAATGGATGAATCCAACATGTCTAAAATATTAGAAGCAGAATGGTTTGAGTTGGAATGGACCTTAAAGGTCGCCTAGTTCCAACCCCCCTGTCATGGGCAGGGACACCTTCCACTAGACCAAGTAGCTCAGAGCCCCATCCAACCTGACCTTGGGCACTTCGAGAGATGGGACATCCACAGCTTCTCTGGGCAACCTGTTCCAGAGTCTCATCATTCTCACAGCAAAGAACTTCCTCCTTATATCTAGTCTAAATCTTCTTTCTCTTAGTTTGAATCCATTCCCCTTGTCCTGTCACTACATGCTTTTGTAAACAAAGTCCTTAAGTAGCCTCTCTTTCAGGCTGAACAATCCAAATTCTCTCAGCCTTTCCTTGAAGGAGAGGAGCTCCATCCTTCTAAACATCCTGGTGTCCCTCCTCTGGACTGGCTCCAGCAGGTCCCCATCCTCCCTGTGCTGGGACCCCAGAGCTGCTGCAGCCCTGCAGGTGGGGTCTGAGCAGAGCAGAGGGGCAGAATCTCCTCCCTGGCCCTGCTGCCCACGCTGCTCTGGATGCAGCCCAGGACACCTTTGGCTTTCTGGGCTGGGAGTGCACACTGACAGCTCATGGCCAGCCTCTCATCTGCTAATACAGGAAATTGCATTCCCATGTAGATTGTTACTTTCATGCTGAAACACTAAGACACCTCTTTTGTTTTCTAAACTATTTTATGTGAACATGTGTCTTGAAGACTATGAAGATGAATCTCCACTAACAGTCTTGCTTGACCTCCATTGCCAAATCAAGACTCAGAAGGTAACATCTTAACTTGCTTCCTTGTTGAAAAAGTACATGTGTGTGCATGTTCCATAGACTGATGGTTCTGTTTTGATCATTATGACACAATTCAACTTTGTTAGTCAGCAATTGTAGCCCTTATTTTTACTCTCTTATCTCTAAATCCTCATAAATAATCATGGATGTTGGGATAATGCCCAAAAACTTGTGGGTGACCCAAAGTAGGTTAGCAATGTTTCTTAGTTTGCAGTCACTATTGTCACTCAGGTCAGCAAGGAACAAAGGTTACAAGGGAGTTGTAGCTGTGCCAAGGTATGAGGAGAACGACTGAGGAACAGCAGCCATCAACAAAAAAGATAAGCTTGAATGTTTTCCATGACCAGCCTTTAGAGCAAAACCAATCTTCACAGAAGTTTCAGTACCTTCAGCCATTTAGTTCAGCTTGTGAAAAATGTTGTCTATTTCTTATACAGAACCAGAAAAAATGGGTTATAGAAATGACCAATATAGAAATAATTTAGTGATATTAAAAGTGAGGTTTACCTTCTCCTCTGCACTAATTCTTTGTACATATGGAGTAAGAGTCCAAGTTAATTGCTATTATTTTTCTGGAGTAAAAGCATATCATTCTCTTGGCAAGGTTACCAGTAAGTAGTTATATTGTAAACTGTCATTACAGTTACTTTTGTAAGTTTCCATGCACTTATGCCCTTTATATTCCTGGTATTCCATAGGTATGTATGCCTGATGGTTTTCAGGTATAGAAAAGACCCAAATTCACTGCTTATCTTCATCTGAATTGCAGTTGAATACTTACTCCCAAAATGCTTCATTGTTGATGTAGTTGTAAACAACTACCATGGGATGATTTGAAAATCAGTATTTCTATATTCCCCTCTCTGTTCCCAAAGAAAGATGTTAGTACCAGTCTTGACAAGAGTTACTCTGAAAAAGAAGCAATTCAAGATTTTATGAAGGCAAGTGAAACCTTGATGCAAAGAAATGCAGCAGATCTTGGAAAAATAAGAGAGCTGTTCCAGAAATATGGCTACAAACCACATGTCAAAGACTCTACAGGTAATATTTCTTGTCAGTAGAGTATGTGAAGGAAAGTATTTTTATAAAATGTTTCTTCTTAGCTATGTGTATATTTCTGTTAGTCAGGAGATCAAGTACCTCCATGTCATTTGCTTTATAGTAATATCCAGAGGGTGAAAGATTTTGTTGTGATTGGTAAATTTGGTTTGTGATAACCAAAACACAAACACTTGGAATTAGATCTTCTGGCATGCCTTTAGGTGTGTTGGGTTTTTTTCAATAATAATTATATTCAGAAAATATGTTAGCAAGTATGTTTTTATAACCCAGAGAATTACACTGCTTCAGCTTCTCATGCATGAGGAAATATTGTAGATCCACCTCATTTGATTTGTATTCACATGTGATGGTTTCATTAAATTAAATCACCCTAGAGAATATCTTAAAATATGTGTTTCCCAGCACAAATGGAACAAGAGAAGAATGTATGGGAATTAGATGGCATGTGACAAGCAATAGCATCTTGATCCTTGGAGGGGAAGGAGGTCCTTAATCCAGTCAGAAAATCTGCATACAACTGTCTGAAAAATCCAGATGTGCCAAATGAGTTAAAGTACTACACCTGTCAATGCAACACATACTCCATTTGGTATCAAGGGCCCAATCAGGCTTCAAAAAGCCTTTGCCAGGGTCTTAACCTTCTCTGAGCATTATCCCAGTCATTACACAAAACAAAATTATGGTTGTGAACCATATTGATGCCAAGTTTAGTTCCTATAGCTGTTTTATACAGAGAGGGCAGAAAGCTCTGATTTTTACCTTTCTTCCTATACTCCCTTTGCCTTTAAAGAAGTCTCCTAACAGAGCTACAAGGTTAAATTATTTAAGTTGTATTTTTGAGCTAAAAGTGTATCTAAAGACATAATACCACTGTAGACCAGAAGGTATAGTACTTTAAATAGCCTCCCTCCCGCTACCCACCTCACAGAATCAATTAAGTTGGAAAAGACTTCTGAGTCATCAAGTCCAACCTGTGGCCGAACACCACCATGTCAACCAGACCACAGTACTGAGTGTCATGTTCAGTCTTTCCTTAAACACATCCAGAGACAATGACTCCACCACCTCCCTGGGAAGTCATTCCAATGTCTAATTACCTGTTCTGTTAAAAAATTCTTACTAATGTCCAACCTGAATCTCCCCTGGTGCAGCTTAAGACTATGTTCCCTTGTCCTCTTGCTTGTTCCCTGGGAGAAGAGGCTGATCCCCACCTGCCTGCACCCTCCTTTCAGGCAGTTCCAGAGAGTGATGAGGTCCCCCCTGAGGCTCCTTTTCTCCAGGCTAAACACCCCCAGCTCCCTCAGCTGCTCCCCACAGCACTTGTGCCCCAGACCCTTCACCAGATTCATTGTCCTTTACTTTCTATATCATGCAGAAATGCACAAACGTTTTGGTTTATTCAACTCCAAAAAGGAACAAATTACACGTTTACCTATTTTTGCAGTGGACTCCTGTTTTTGAAAAAGCTGTCTCCTTTTACAAGTTCTTAGTTGCTGCTTCGTAACCTTTCCTCAATACTGTTTTTCTAAAGAATGAGCATTCTAGTACTGTGTACAGTCTTTGCTCTTTTCCCAAAAACCTTTTCATGTCTGTGCAGGGAAAAAATACACTTAGGTAAAAATCTTTGAATTTCATTTTCCCTAGAAATAATATTTACCAAGAATGAAATTCAGTAAATGTGTGACTTATAAATATAGCTTAGCTATAAGATACACTTTTAGCTTTTGATATCTGTTGTAGCTTCAGGTTCAGTGCTTTAAAGTGGAAGAAGGAATCTGTTTTTTGCAACAGCAAGCGAAATAATTTGAATACTGGGGAAGTGTCCCAATTTATTTTATAAATTCTTAAAACAAAAACTTCTGACATAATTTTTTTTTCCATTTCTTTTCTTATAAAGAAGAGGAGGATAAAGTTAACAGTGAATCAGCAGCGTCTGTCCAGAATAAATCTGATGAAGAAAAAGCAAACGATGTATCTCACCTCTCTGCTTCT